TATATATATGTATATACATGTATATATATATATATATATATATGTAAATACATGTATATAATATATATATATATATACTAGTATGTATATAATATATACGTTGAGAAGAATATATGATGGGCTTCCCTTTAACAACTTCGTTCAACGGCTTTAATTCAAATAAATCCTTTGCAACGCCTTCATATTTTCATCAACTCTTTTATAAGGCCTTTTGCCTATTGATAATATATATATTTCTTTATATATAATTATATATAATATATAATTATATATATATGTATATATATAATATATATATATGAACACAATTACCTCGCTGCTGCTGTTTTTTGCTGCTGCTGTTTTTTGCTGCTGCTGTTTTTGCTGCTGCTGTTGCTGCTGCTGCTGTTGCTGCTGCTGCTGCGCGGGTGTTTCTTTATAAACACCAGCGAATGCAATATCTCTCCTAAATGATATACAAACCCTAATAATTAATACTAAACCCTAACCCTAAAGCCTAAAGAATAATAATAAACCCTAAAGAATAGTAATAAACCCTAACGAATAATAATACAAAAGCCTAACCCTAAACCCTAAAGAATAATAAACCCTAAATAATAATAAACCCTAAATAATAATAATAATAAACCCTAACTCTAAACCCTAAGGATTAATAATAAACCCTGAAAGTAATAATAATAATAATAAATCCTAATAACAAGAATAAACCCTAGAGATGAAAAAGAATAAACCCTAATGAATAATAATAAAATTAATATTGTATATTAATATTATGAATATTAATATACAATTGTTAATATTATATATTAATATAAATAATATTAATATATAATATTAATAGCCTTAAAGATAAATAATACACCCCATGCATGCATTGTACAGGGGTGTCTAAGAGCAGCAGCAAACCCGCGCTGTCAGTTGCTGCACTCCGCAGCAAACCCTAAACCCTAAACCATAAACCCTAAACTCCCTCTGCTTGCTGCAGCAGTCGCTTCCAATCCACCTCCTTTGCTGCTGCTGCAGCGCCGCAGCAGCAGCGCCGCAACAGCAACAGCGCAGCAGCAGCACCACCCCCAGCACTGCAGCAGCAGCAGCAGCTGCACTGCAGCAGCACTGCAGCAGCAGCAGCAGCATTGTATGCATTTGCTTTAAAAGTGTATATTATCTGAGGGGTATTGCTGCTACATCGACAACAAAATGAAAAAGTTTAGGAGCATAAGACTTTACCTTCTCCACGCGGTGTACAGACACCTTCCAGCAGCAGTTTGTTTTATTTGCTTTGTCTTCAATTAAAGCTGCTACATCTCGCAACACACGCTGAGCAAACCCCAAAGATATACCCAACTTGCAGTTGCCCCCAACCTGCTGCAGCACATCTTTATCACCAGCAGCAGCAGCAGCTGCTGCTGCTGCTGCTGGTGCTGGTGTTGCTGCTCTTCCTCCTTCTCCAGCTGTTGCGGCAGCAGCAGAAGTTCGTGATGCTGCAGCAGCAGCTGCTGCTTCTGGGTTGTGCGGCTGAACATTTGTTTGTGGGGTGCTATTTTTGGGGTGTACGTACAGCGTAGAGTAAAGGGGTTCTTCTGCTGCTGCTGCTGTTAGCGGAGCTACTGCATGGATGTGCAGCAAACCGCCTCTTCTGTTGTTAAGGAGAGCAACAGCAGAAGGCCAAGCGCTGCTGCTGCAGGGGAGAAGACCCAGACTCACCCGATCTGCTGCACCTATTAGAGCAGCAGGTAAGCCTGCTACTCCTGCTGCTGCTGCTGCTGCTGATGCTGCTGCTGCTGCTGATGCTGATGGGGATGATGAGGAGGGTGTGGAGGCTGCTGCGGCTGCTGCTGCGGCATCGATTTGCTCCTGCTGCTGCTGCAGCACCTCCTCAGAAGACACAAGGGCTTTCCTTGCATCTGCTGCAGCCTGAGAGGCCTCAACTGCTGCGTCAACAGCAGCAGCAAAACCATCATCATCTTCAGCAGCAGCAGCAGCTGCTGCTGCTGCTGCTGCAGCAGCATCAACAGGTTCTGATGAGAAGCAGCAGCTGTTGCATAAAAGAAACGTTACTCTCTTGGGATCGATTCGGTTTAGGGGCAGCGCCTCACTAAAAAACTGCAGCAGCAGCAGCAGCAGCAAACACAGCAGCAGCAGCAGCAAGAAGACAGCAGCAACAAGAAGACAGCATTAGCTCTCCCATGAAAGAAGAGTGCATGCGCTGAAGCCTGCAGACTGAATTTAGTGTATACAGCCATCTGCCTCTCTACTTCGTCTTCTGCTGCTGCTGCTGCTGCTGCTGCTACTGCTACTGCTGCTGCTGCTGCTGCTAGAGTTGCTGCTGCTAGAGTTGCTGCTAGCTGTGTTTATTGGTTTACTTTAATAGCGAGAGGGTTGATGTCGCATGCATAGAGTTTACGAAGACGAGTGTGGGGACAGAAGGCGAGGGCTGGGATCGAAAAAAAACCGATCCCACAAAACAAATCCACCACAACTTCAGGCGCCCCTTGTGCAT